GACGCGTGCCTTTAGCTGGTCAAGAAGGGTCTGTCCCGCCTGGGCTATCTGAAGTGCTTCTACCACCTCTACGGCAAGAACTTACGAACGTACAGTCATGTACGGAAAAACAAGAAAACACATCCCGGACAATCGACTGCTATAGACACATCTTTACTCCGAGACTCCGATCATGGTGGACAGGAGCTACCTAGTGGGTCCACGAGCGGGCTTCCGAGCGTCCCGTCGTGGTAGCCAGGAATCATGCGCAACATAGGTTGAAGTCGGGACACAAGAACTGATTGCACGTATACGTCAATGTAGGGTGGACCGGTCGTTCACTAGTGGGTGAAGATGTCGTAAGTGGTGTTGGGCCGGATGAAGTGGCTGGGCCTGCGCAAGCAAGGGCTGGCGACCGACGGCAGGAGGCGTAAGCGTAGACGCGGCAGGCAGTTCGTGTTGCAGTGGCGGAAGTTGGGCAAGAGCATGCCCGGATACCCCACACACCCGTTCTTGGAGCGCTACCAGGTCGACGCGCGCCACTGCACACGCAACCGCGTCTTCAAGCTATACCCGGCGGGCCTTCCCAAGTTCCAGCCGCTTACCCTCGCACCCGACCCCCTACGCATACATCAATGCGCCTGCGGCGACTACTACTTCGATGTTCGATCCTTTACCACTTCACTAGCGCAAAGACCTACCTATATAAAGCAAGCACCTCCGGTAAGAGACGACCACACGACACATTGTAAGTACATTTGATAGACCGACAGGTAAGGGGTTTATGGGGCCTTGCAAAAGCTGAGCGGACTGGGGTCAGGCTGTGTCGAGGTACAGTCGTCAACGATCTCGCAGTGCGTAGTCCGGAGCCCAGCACGGTGGTAGGAGGAACGGAAAGACGGAAAAGCAAGGGGGACATGGAATACAGCCCAGGTCCAAGTCCGTACTTTGCGTGGGTCACGGGTGGAAAGGAACCGGGCAAATGTTAAGGGATTCCCTTCACTGGTCAAGCCACAGACACGGCAAGAAAGTAAAGTCTGCAGGTAGTTGATAGTTAGAGAAATGAGTGGCGATTGTTAGGAATGGTAGGAAGAGTAAACGCCCTGTAGTAACGCGTCGAGATATAAGTCGTCGGTTGAGAATAGAAAGGTTTAGCGTTCCCCGGTGTGGTAGTGTCGCCTGGACGACCTGAGCTAACGAACCCCGTGCATCCAGGAGTAACACCATACAACTGTAAGAGTCAACAATAGTATGGCAAGGTTGACTACTTTAAGTTTCCGTTTCAGATATTGGGCAAGGACTCGAGATGGATACAGCCTCGCAGTCTGCTGAGGGGGCGGAGGAGGCCCAGTGGCGTAGGGAAGGCTCGACGACAACCTCTAAGATTCGGTTTGGTGAGGCTGAGACGCTATGCCGGCGTAGAGGCTCGCTACGAGGTAGTATCGAAACAGGGTACAAACGTCTGTAACCGCGAGGCACCGTGACCGGTGAGGGAGCGACACCTGGATGTAAAACAAGGCTACACCCGTCTTACCGTAAGGAGCCCTCGACCGTACGTTAGCACGGACCGAGAACGCGAGGCCCGTCCTCAGGGACCGTTAAATGTATCTATGTAGCATAAGTTCTCGCCGAAGATTTAGGCGGTAACTTGAGGAGGAGGGAGTAAGGAACGAGGGGGTTTGGGGCACCTGCGGGAAATCGGTTGTGCCAAACTGCGAGAGGCATGAATAAGATAGCTATCACCGCGAGGAGGATTCAACTCACAAACGCCCCTGGGCAGACCACTATTGCCGAGCACAGGTGCAATCGCATCGGCACGGTTGATCGAGAGCTCGTTAGGTCCTATCAAATGCCGGTAAGGATGCAGTTCTAATAAGGCGAGGACTGAGCGCTCACCAACACGGACAATGTCCCCGTACTGCTTATGCAGCTCCTGGTAATACAAGTGCTGGCGCCCACGGTACATCTTCCACGCCAACGTCAGCTTCGAAAGCTTGGCCAAAACCGGACCTGGGTAGTTCGCGAGGGGATGGAAAGGTGACAGGCGATATGCTGAAACATAGGTAATGATCGAAGCCCAGTAAACAACAAAAGTAAGAGGGATTGCGAGAAGGGTGTTGGGGGTATGTGGGGCGACAAACGGCACGAGAAAGGTGGGCACGAGGAGGAGGAGAATGAACACAGGCAGAGGTGCATTGGGCTCGTAGCGCTTGAAGATTTGGTAGACCACCTATGGAGCTGTGTTAGAATCAAGTAGTAGCAGACCAATCAGGCTGAGAGCGCACCAGACCAGTCGTGAGTATGATTACCGAACTATCGGACAACCGCAAGCTCTTCGCCCATGCATCGTAGGCCTCCAACATGGCAGTGGTGATTTTTGGAGATAGGAGCAGCGAAAAGGTGAAGACTTTCGCTTTACAAAGACTCTGAGTTTAAGGTCTCAAGGACTGCGGAAGTTCATATAGGAAGGTCTCCAAGGTGGTGGTGAGGTTCGCAAGGTGGTATTGGATTGTGCATCATGATGGAGTGCAGCTCGGGTCAGGCTTTACCCCCGAAAGTTATCCTCGGATACGCCCGATCCTCACTGCCTCCTTTGCGCGGATGGGCCAAAATATCTGGTCCATATGCCTCCGCCAACTACCAAACTTTGGTCGATGCCTGATATTGCGCCAAGCCAGATAGGAGCCCCTAGACAGAAAATAAAAAATTGAGTCTTTTTAAGCTCATACATGCATATACATGTCTCACATGATCCAGTCCAGCAGCTGCGCTGTGATTACGCGAGGTCTCCGATTGCGCTTTGGAAAAATATCAAGGATTCGCAAAAGCCAGGTAGTTGGATGACAAGAACGATCCTCAAAGGAGAAGGACCGCGAGGATGGTGGGCGATGCCAGACGATGCATGATGGTTTGAAGTGGAGGAGCGGTACAGAGACCGAGCGTCAAAGTCGACCAGTTCAACCACCTTTGCTTTCGACCTTGCCGGCTTATCCATGCGCTGTATGCGGTGGAATCTACACCTACAAACTGGTACAAGGTCAGATATTTTGACCTTGACGCGGCCTAGAATTCCTGACTGATGTGAGCACTAAGTGGATAGTGTGTACCATTCATCATCCGCGCGTTTCAAATTGATGATACTGTATGAATCGAGAAAGCCAGGAATACAGAAACGTGGATGCCAGAGCCCCCAGAGCTCAGAAGCGAGCTAGGAACTCAAATCGATTCTCCAGAACAAGATATGTCTAAGAATAATATAAACGATAAATAACCCTCATGATCATAACCCAAGACCCGTTGAAGATATAAATATTTTCCCGTGCTCGCATTTAGACGAATGACCAGGTGACGCCGGTGATGCGCCCAACGCTCTCCGGCGCGAAGATCGTGAACAGCGACGGGGACATGTCGAGATCGCCAAGGCCGGCGCAGCCAGCGCACCTATCGGTGATGGTCGCGGCTTGGGTGACGCCGTTGTCTACCAAACAAAATCAGGTTTAGTAAACTCCAGAGTTATAATAGGATACGCAGGCATTTGCGAGAGGGACGCACAAGTGATGCTGATGGCCTTGTTGCAGATGACATTGCTGTTCGGGTTGCCGGGGGAGGTCTCGCTGTAGAAGACAAAACCATTGTCAGAAAACGAGCACTCATTCTTGGCTGTGGTAGAAAACGCACGTGTAGCTGTCGAAAAGGGCTTCAGAGACTGCGACGATCAAGTCGGTGTCGACGTTGGGGACTCCACACGCGCCGAGGCCGACTTCGAAGAAGGTACCTGAAGCAATGTGTAACTCATAAGTATGCGTATGCAATTGATTTGGCGAATGCTTACCATCACCAGTCTCAGACTGGGCCTTCACGACCGCGACGACGGCAGCAAGGACAATTGCGACAGTGTGGCGGGAGAAGAACATGATTGGCAGATGGTTGTAATGGGAGAGTAAGTCTGGTTGGAATTAATGCTGATGCGAATGAGAGGATGCGGATTATGAGGAGGAAAGAGACCCAGGTTTTATAGTATTGGAGAATGTGGCACGCCATCTTCCGAGCGAACGGTGTTTCATCCAGCGAGAACACTTGTGCACGATCGAGTTGCATGTGACCATGTTGTTGGATCCGCTGGCAAGTCGAATCGTTGTCCATGTTGCTGTGATCATGCTAGCAAGCCGCGCGTGGCATCAGAGTTTGAGCTGTCGCCATGCAATGATGCGTATGGGCGATGATCCAGTCAACGAACAGTGCGTAGTCGAACGCGCCCGCAGTGCACAGCCCACTCTGGTTGACCCTCTGAACCTCGCAATTCAACGAATTCGAAGCGCGACGAGTTTAGCGACCAGATAGTCCCTCTCAAGTTGACAAACCAGCGCCAGTAGACATGTAAGGAAGGGGAACGACATTATGCTTTTGTGCGAACTGGTCTATTGCAAGTTGTGTGCGAATTGCTTTGATTGATCATTGGGACAGAAGTGAAATACAGCGCACTAGGTCGAACAAATGATTTGAGAAGCACCCACCCATGTGTTTGTTGAAAAGGTTGGGAAATATGCAGAGGAGAGCTGAAAAGAGCTGAAAGGAGATCAACTTTGTCCCAAGATAGCTATGTAGAGCGTTGAAGTCTGTCGAAGTGGGGCGTCGAATTGGTGCATGTGAAACAATATTCATCAAGTGTATACAGCGCCGACAGTAGGCTGAGTGCCAAGCTGACCATGAGCCGCAAGCACGCTGATCGTGACCTTGTCATGATTCAGATGGGCGGCATATGCTGACGCGCACAGCCTCGGTCACCGATCCTCTTCGCGCGGTCTTAGAAGTTAGTCATTTCGCTTCTTCGCGCGGTCTTAATCATTTCTCTGTTACTGAAGCCAGTGAAGGTATTGCTAGGAGTGATGAGAAGAAAAAAGTCTGCCTGCCCAAGCGTGTTCGAGAGCAGATGAGAGTTCGCGACATGAGAGTTAGAACTTAGATCAAATAAAATACTTACAGCAGTCATGTGCATTGGGTCGGTCCGAAGAGCAAAAATATTCCCGATCGGGGAATTGAACCCCGGGCTGCCGCGAACCGTATGAGAGGCGGCAATGTTAGCCACTACACCAATCGGGATGAGTGTTTGCTTCTCTGTACCTCGGCATCTCAACCGAATATTATTGCGATGAGCTGAAAAGCTTGTGACTGCAGGGACTGCAGGAGCATGCGCAAAATATAACTGAAGCAGACAGACACAGGCGTCGCCGGTCGGACTGATTAACAAAAGGTATTCCCGATCGGGGAATTGAACCCCGGGCTGCCGCGGACCATATGAGAGGCGGCAATGTTAGCCACTACACCAATCGGGACATGGTAAGGGTTCCCTTCTGGTTTTCATCTCCTCTGCAGGTTGCTGCTCTGTAATAGTCCGTAGCCAAATACTCTGGCTGGCCACCTTTATCCTAGAATGAGTGGCTCGATCACGTCAATACATCCGACGGACCGTCCGGGACAGTTGAGGGACAGTGGACGTCATGCAATCTTGCTCAAATCAAAAACGAAATTTGTACCTTGCGTCCTTATATTAGAGCTCGAGTGGCCCAACGTCTAACTCAAATATATATAATGCCTTCGACATTAGTATTGACACACCCGGGGAGCTTATTGTGTCTGCTCTCTCTGCTTGCTCTGTCCTCTCTGCGCCTGGCCAGTGGCAGTAGCGGCCGCAGCAAACAACACATGGGACAGCGGCTCAGTCACAGAGCGCCAATCAGCCTACAGTGGAAACTAGCGTCTATCAACAACGCATCAAACTTCATACACGATGCCACAGCCCCCTCCAAGACTCGTCTACATTCTCTATACACCAATTTTATCGCATTTCTTGTTCCCTTATCGCTACAGTGGCTATCTAGCATAGCTACTAAAACCCAAACGAACTCCCGCTTCACTGTAACAGTAACACAGGACAGGTGGTTTTTTCGATAGCAAAAAATGAAGACATAGCATCGAGAGATTGGATGGCCAGAGTGTAGTGGATGGACGGGGAATAAGGATACATGTAATGGAATGTTGTGGGGTATCACCTGGGCGTCATCAATACCTAAAGACCCGGGGTATGCGGCATATGATCCAGTATGAGCGAGAAATATGTATGGGCCAGATGGGTGCCGTGCCGTACAGGACGCTAGCATATGTCACTGGTACTATCAAGACCTGTCATAAAATATTTAGGGCCGCGTAATGCACACCATTCCCTTGTTGCAGGCTCACCGGGACTCATCGTCGTTTTGGGCTTGTCGAAAATTTTCAATTCCGGCCAGCAATGCGTGTGCGCTCGGCCGCAGCGAAGGAACTGGACTAAGACAGTACTTCAGGATCGACCATACAGCCGCAGGGACCTTATCGGGGCGATCGATGGTTGCGATCGTCCCGTCGACAAGCTGCTTCAACATCAAGACAACTGCCAAATCACTGCGGATGTGCGCGAAGGGTTGGAGGAGAGTCCACATCTGAGAAAAGGGAAGATTTCAGGGACTGAAAGGTGAGTGGCGAGCTTACCTGCACAATCGTCAAAGCTGCTGCGTATATGTCTACTGCTTTGTTTGCCTGGGCGAGCATTGCACGGGGCTCCTTGTTAAACAACTTCTCTGGAGCTGTCCACCGGCAATCAGAATCGAAATGAACATAGCCTGAGGACGGGTCTGCGTCGCCGGCCATCATTGTTTTGTACTGAGCATCGCATAGCACCCCGCGCTTGGTGTCGTCGATCATGATGTTTTCCTGGAGGTTTCGGGTAAACCAGGGGAGAAGGAAATAATAGGAGAATTACCCCGCGGATGTTGCCGTGAGTGACATCCAGTTCATGTAGGAAGGCGAGACCTTTGAGGAGATCCGCTGCCTAAAGGGTGACAGTTAATATTGGCCCATGACGAATGTAAGCATCTGTGGGGACGAACTAAGTCAATCCTTTCTCCGTCTGTTGATCCAGGGTGTCTTTGGAGGTACTGAATGGCGTTTCCAAGAGTGTAGAGTGGCATCAGTGTACCAAGGGTAGAGCCGTCGGTGCACAGTTCCAAGATTCGACTAATGTTGGGATGACTTAAGCGACCGTGACGCATGCGCTCAACATACTGCCTTAAGCGCTGGAATCCACGGATTATCAGGTTACCTTGCTGTCAAAATTGCACCTAAATAGCTTACCTGTGAAGTGAAGTATGTGTCATGGCCGGTATACAGTCTCTTGAAGACTGCCTTGAGTCGAGTAGGATGAGCATCCCGCCATTCAAGAAAGCGAATATGTTTGCCAACCTTCTGCCTTTCATTACCTGCAGAAACGAGAAAAAACTTGGATCTCTCGCTGACGGCGAAGATGTCACCGGAAATCTTGGGAACTTGATTTGCACCAGCCATATCCTGGAGTGAGAGTGAGCAGGGTGAAGAATACTCGGAGAGGTTACATGAGGTATTATGATCCACCACGTACCCTGCCTAGTTCTGTGTACATGTGGGAGGCACCTGTTAGATAGGGCCGCTCGGTGCCGTGCTCGGAGAGAAGTTGCCTGATTGCCTCGTAAACATTGATTGACGCTGCATATGATGGTGTGCATGGTTCATTGCACGGTCTCGTGAAATCTGCAGCGTCTGGAGGAGCAACTCTCAACACAGAATCGTGTTTGATAGCTGCCCATCGTTCTTGCCACAATTTGTCAGATGAGTTGACGGCCTTTTGCCAGAAATATCTGTCTTCCCAAAAAGAGCCCCAGTCATGCAATATAACCACCCAGTTTTTATATGAGTTTCCCGAGCCAAAGAAGAACTCGAACAGCAAGGTGTCAAGTGATGGCGATGGAGGACTATTATTGAACCGACGAAAATGGGTAATCCAGTGCACAGCGGCATAGCGAGCGAGTGGAAAAGGCTGCACACCGGCAAGGGTCAAGGGATCTAATTTACCAAAGTGCAACATGTAGGCCAGACAAGTCTCGGCGATCATGACTTGGGTCATGTTGGCATCGACACGAAAATAATCTGCCTCTCCTTTCGAGAGGAGATAGTCTTTGACACTCATGTGTGCCAATTTGACGGTTCCTGGTTTTTGAGTTGTTAAGATATGTATCGCGATCCAGAATAGCAAATATACCTTCAAACTCTGTAACTAATCCAGAGCATATGGTAAGAACCGTTCGTGGATCCATATATCGAAGATCAGAATCGTAGCATGGCTGCTCCAATCCAAAGTCGACAGTCATGGCATCGGCAAGCTCTTCCATTGTAATTGGACGAGCAGAGAACATCACCCATTGCAAAAGCCGCCGGAGATCTTTGCGGTCGCGTTTAGATGCCCTGCATAGGATCCTTTCGTAGCTTTGCTCCAAATCTTCCGGCAGGGCCTCTAGCTGCTGCTTTAGGCTCCGTGTGTTGCAGCATAGAAGCAACTCGGCGAGTTGCAAAGCCACCCATCGGAAGCTAAAGCCACATTATCGGAATGTGTTGCTGAGATCAATCAGGTTGACTTGCCTTCCATCTGCGCCGTGAATCAAGGCGTCTTTCACCATCGTTACAGCTTTTGGATGCCATTCCGGCTTTTCGGAGAGCTTCCCGTTAACATACTCCACTATATCAGGATTTGCTGACCCGCCCGCAAATTGCATATTTTCAAGAGATCCAATCGCAGCCAGGTGATCAATGATATCGGGCTCCCGACGGCTAGAAAACATCATATGCAACACTTCACTTTTCCAGCACGAGATTGTCTTGATCCAAGTCAGAAGTTTGTTTCTATCAGCGCATTCGTCAAGTGCGTCAATGACAATGTAGACATGTTTGTATTCGCCCATGATCTCCCGAAGAGTGTCCTCGAGGATGGCTGCCGATGGCTGCCGATGCATTGGGCCTCCACCGTACATTTCCGATAAAGCTGCAGGCATGCGATGGAGTTGATGCCAGAGCTGCAGAATCAACGAGCGAAGGAATTTATCGTGGAGTGACAGGTTGCTCTCTGCATTTCTCCCATCGAAGAAGAAATAGGCGTAGGCGGAAGACGCCTGATCTTGACAGTGCCTGTCAAGTTCCTCGATGACACACGAGCTGTTCATATACGCGCATATCAGGCCCCCACATTACCCGTTGAATATGATTACTAACCTTATAATGGTCTTGCCGCATCCAGCTGAAAGTCGTTTAGCAAGGGTTGTGATGGGGCCGCTGCGAGACTCACGGGAGCCAGACAACCAGAGAGGACGGTTGGAGATTTTCTTCCATCGCGCAAATTTTTCATCGTGTATGAACCAAAGGCCGGTCTGCGTGTGGCGTATCTCGCGTGCTGCGTGATAGTTCGTAGTCGGATCAGGGGCAGCTAGCCAGTGACAGATTTCTTTGTCTGCAGTAACATGGTATCAGCCAATCGTTGCTGACGGTGTGGTAGTTCGAACTCACCTTTCTTTTTCTTCTCTATCTCTGTGTATTTTACGTCTTGGTGAATATCGAACAATTGCTAAACATATTGTAGTTCAAGCGTACCTTTCTCTTCATCTGAACTATCCACATTGTAGATATTGACATCGTGGCCGGCGTTGATGACCGATGCATTCCCCGATATACGGCTCGTGTTAAACGAGGACTTTCGATAGTTGTCAGGTAAGATACTTCACATGGGAATCAAGTTTCGGCTCACCGCAGCTGAATATGAGGGCATGGAAGACGTATGGATAACATCCCATGATCGACGATCGTTCTCCGATCTTGGCTCTTCTCTTCTCAGCCTATCGTTGTAGCCTTCAGCAAAGCTTGCTACCATGTCATCTCTATGTGTCTTCCCCGTCTCACTCATATCTGGGAGGGTTGTCGAGATTGCCTCAGATCGCAATGGCGAGAAGGCGTCGATATCGATGGTGCCGCTAGAGTATAGGCGTCTGTTTACATCAGTCCCATGGTCTTAGACGCCTGTTTGAGTTTCGGAGTTATATATCCGGTAACTGCATTCGGCACGACTGTGTGAGGAGAGATACGCATCTTGAATTCGTGATTCAAGAGAAATTTGAAATGCCAGCATTCAAAAAGAAGGTGCCAAGCGAATGGGAGACTAGTGCCACTACGTGCACCCAGCTGCCGTGAGCTAAACAGAGCAAGAGCGC